TTTTTCAAATAAAAAACAAACTAAAATAAGAATAAATAATAAAAATAATTGAATAATTTTACTATGTTGTAAAGAATAATAGATAACTAGTTTAAGAATTTTCTGAATAGCTTGATCAAGTGATAAATTTTTCATGTTAATAATTATAGAAATTTGTTTTGCTTGTTGAATTAAATCATATGACTTAAAATCACGTTGCATTAAATTATCAAAAATTGATGTAAAATTATTTTCATATTCTAACTGATTCATTCTACGAAATACTCAAGTTTCAATATCAGCATCGAGTACAATTTTTATTTCTGCATCATGAAGAATCTTGGTTGTTACATTATGTCCAACTACAACAAATCCTTTTCCATTGACTAATTGATTAATTTTAGTATTAATTGCTTTTCTAACACCATCATTCTTTGCTATTTCTGCTGCACAAGTTCCAATTTGTAAATATTCTTTATTACTAAGTTGATTAATTTTTTTTAAATCATCAATAGTAATATTTGAATTAATTATTTCATCACTTAAATTATTTACATGATGATTATAATATTTTACTACAAAATAGCGATAAAACAAGCCAGTATCAATAAATTTGTATTTTAAAAATTTTGCAAGTTTACTACCAATTGATGTTTTTTCTGTTGCTACTTGACCATCGATTGCAATATTAATTGGTTCACTTAAAAGATTCAACATTTTGTTACATAATTAAAATTCTAGTTGGTCATCAAATGACTAACTAGATAATTTATTCTTCTTTCTCTTTAATAGTTAAAAGATAAATATTTTCAAATACATATTTTGCATATTTTAATAATAATAACAATAATTTTTCTGAATCAATTTTCATTATATTATAATTTTTAAATAATGTATCTTTATCTAACAAATATATTTTATGTTTTTTATAAAATTTATTTGCAATAAAAATATCTTGACATAGGACACTTTCAAGAAATTTTTTAAAATCATTTATAAAATCACCAGATAATTTTGTCATTTTTAATTACGTATTTAAAATTCTAGTTGGTAAAAATACACTAACTAGATAATTTATTTAATAATATAAATAAATAAAAATAAATAAACAAAATTAATAATAATTTGTACAGTTACGAGCTAAATGATCACTATGTTTATATTTATAACATTTTTTTTCTTGTTTACAATTATAGACAACATGATCATTAGCACCACATCTAAAACAAACTTTCTTATTTCTTATTTCATTATTTTTTTTTAAATCTTGTTTTTTTGAATATAAAATTAATTCTTCTTGTGTATTTACTATTCCTTTACATCAATGATTAAAATCATTTCCTGATGTAAACCATTTACATAAATCAAACTGAACATATTCATCATTAGAATTTTTTTAACCAATTGGAAAAGTTAATCCACAAATAAAAGTACATATACAATCTTTTATTTCTCGTTTACATACATCGCAACATGTATGATCATAATTTCTACTACAATTCCAGCATTCTCCATGATTTTTAGGATAAAGATATGAATGAATTGTATCAACTGATTTAATTTTATTAAAATAAGAAAAAAATGTATATTTATTTTGATTATTAAATATATATTTGTTTACAGAAATATAATCATCATTATTTTTTAATTGAATTTGAGAATTTTGCATTTTAGTAAAAGCTAAAAATTTTTTAAATAATTCGTAAATTTCATGTTCTTGCATGATTTAAAGTTACTAGGGGAATTTTCTACTTGGTAATGACACTAAGTAGATTTTATTTAATCAGTCAATAAACAACACCCAATATTATGTATCTATATTCGAGTTTAGAATAAGATCATAAAATAAATAAGTTGCCAACTTATCAACAACAATTGGTTCAATTTGCTTATCATTTCAAGCAAATGATTTTCCTTTATGATCCTTCAACTAGATTGTGTTTATCAACTTCAATCTAACCCAAATGTCTATCAAAAAGATGTTGTCTAACATCTATGACCATCTTTAATCAAAAGAATAAATTTAAAAGAAGAAGAAATTGGAGTCGAAAAGTATAAATAAATCGAAATATTTGAGATTATCAATTCTGTAAGTTCTTTCTCTGGTTTGAATTTCAAAGTTCGAAATGGTGATCTTTCACTTAAAATTTCTCGAATACTAATTTGAATATCAATCAAGAATATAAATTTATCATCACTGAGAATTAGTAAACATTAAGTTCACTAAAGTGATGGTGATTAGGAATGATATTCAGGGCTTCATATAGGTGTTACAAAGCGAAAATCTGAACTTTCATTTTCTGCTTGATTATCAGAGATCTTTTCTTGAGTAAATCTTTTTTCTCATTCTTTAATAACCTTTAGAACTTGTTTATTAAGTAATTCTTCTTTCTTTTTCAACAACTTTTTCTTCTTTCGTTTAAAGATATTCAATTTAAATTCTCGTAAAAGTTTTTGCTCATCTTTATAGATTGTAGATCCAGTTTCTTTAAAACTTTTAATCCAAAAATAAATTTCATAATCAAGTTTTCTTTCTCGAAACATTTTCTTTATTCTCATTAAAGATCCTTTTTGATTAAGATTTACTAATCGTTCTTTCTTTGGTAAAGTTTTATCAACTGATTGTAATAATTTAAAATATTCACAACAACTTCTAAAAGGACATTTAGCATCTTTATGTCGAGGATCATACTGCCAAAGATGAGGATAGAATTCTTGTTTTAAATCATCTCCAAGATATGGTCGAGTACCACATTTACATTTAAAAAAATCATAATAAGAAATAATTTTAGAATGCTCTAAAGTATCGAATTTTTCTTTTTGCTCTCTTTTCGAATAAAAGAGAACATATGATTTATCGAAATCAATATTCCACCAAAGAATACTATTAATAATCATGATAGATTCATGAAAATGTTTTTGAATAGGTTTTGCAAATCGAGAGAAATGTGTGACAATATCTCGTTGCATTTTAAGATAAAGAATTTTGTTATAATAGAGATAATTATTATTTCTTTATCTTATAAGAACAGCTCGCAGAGCTCTTGTTCTTGGTATCAAATTGTGAAATTCGATGAAGATTTTGACTTAGCAAGCTTGTCTTTTTATAGAGAAAATCTCAATATATTAAATATATTATGTATTGTAAAATTTAAAGTATATATAATTTATTAATAAAATATAAGATAAAATCATTTAATTACAGATAAGATACATTTAATATTAATTAATAAATTAAGTTAATAAATTTTCAAGTTGAATATCTAATAATTGACATTGTTTAAGATTTGTTTTGATCATGTGGTAATCACATTCTAATCGTGAAACACATGCTTCTAAATTCTCAATTTGGATTCGTTGTTCTTTTAATTCTTGTGTAACTCGTGTGATTTCAAGATCTGCATTGGCAGGCTTATAGCGTATACACAAAAAATCATGCTTTTTACAATTTATACATGTATTATAATCATCTTCATAAATACACTTTTTATTATGTTCATGACAATGTTTACAATGTGTTTTTTTTGTATAAGTTGTTTTAATTTTCATTTTAGTTAAAATATATAAAGGAATAAAATAACATGTATAAAATAGATATTTATACTTTTTCAAATAAATTAATTTATTTTTTATTCTTTTTTTTGTAAACAGATAAACTGATAACAATGTTTATTTATATTTTTAAAATATATACAAAACTTTTATTATTTAAGAACAAAATATTTTATCTTTAAAAAAAAAAATTTAACAAACAAAATGAGGAATATTCATCCAATACGAACATATTTTTATGATAATTCTTTTAAAACAAGAACTATTTGTAATCTCTGTGAAGCATCATATCCAATCGATACTAATTTAACAAATCTCAAAAACCATTTTTATAAACATCATAAAACAGAATATGATTTAGCAATAAATAAACATGAAAAAAATAAAAAAGAAATTCAAAATACTAATCTTTTATCAAAAATACCTAATGCAACAAATATTATAATTACAAAATATATTTTAGATAATACTGATTATGAAATTGAAGAAACTGAAGAAATTGAAAGTGGTAATGTTATTCAACTATGTAAACAAACTAAAGATGAATATCAAACCGATCAAATTTTAAAAAAACAAAAAAAAGAACAAATAGAAGAAAATATTATTACTAATATCGATAATATTGAACTAACAGAAGGAAGTCAAATTAAAATTGATAAAGATACTATTTCTATTACTGGAAAATGTAAAATTTTTTTCAAATTGTAAAATGTTTTTTCTTTCCTTTTGATCGTGCAAAAATTACTGAAGATACTCTTATTTGTTTCCAAATATTTTTATGATTTCTAATAAAATATGTTTTAAGTGTTTGAAGTAGTTTGGATTATTATATTCTTTTTTACAAATATCACATTCAATATAATTATTGTTATCTTTTTTATTTGAATAATAATTCCATATCGGATGTGAATTTATTTTTTTCATTATGAATAAAGAAATAAGGCGATTTCTATTTGTATATGGGGTGTTTGTACACGGGGTGTTTATACACAAAGTATATTTACATAATTTGTGTAACACAAATTAGCTAATTGAATTAGCCAATACCTTCAAGATATAACAATAACTTGTAAACTTAATACACAATACTGACACTTTCTAACCCTAATTATTAAACTGAATACTATCTTAGTCCTATTACTTTCTAATAGAAAATATATTATCAACTTGCAGTTTATTTTTAACTAATGAAATATAGTGCATATAATCACGGAAATGTGAACTTTTTATACAATAGCTAGATATAATAAATAAGTTAATCGATTGAGTAAATTCACAATATAGTAATACCAATACGTAGACAATAATTATTAGCATAATATCTGATCACATCTACTAATTAAATTTAATTAAAGACCAACTTTGGCTGCATACATAAGATTATTTATTTTTTGTACAAGTTTTAGCATAATAACCTGCTTGACCACATTTACTGCACTTCCGACCTTTATTAAAATCTAAACTCTTTTTATCTTCATTAGGATTTTTATTAACTATATTAAGTTGTGTACTATTTTTTAATGGATACTTTCTTTTAGACTCAACAGCAGATTTAAATCTTTTAAGAGGACGTCCTTTGTGTTTTGTGATAGATGGATTAATAATATTAATACTATCTATATCTTGTTGCTGATCATTTACTTTGCTTTGTGTTTCACAAAGAAAGTTTTTTAAAACCTCAGATAATTCTTTGTAAGCATTAGCTTTAATCGCAACATCAACTACTTTTTTGGATACTCCAAATAGTTCCACATAAATTGTCTTGGATGGCTTTCATTTAGAGTTAGATTTATCAATATTAGATCGAATTGTAATAAGCTGATTAAATGTTAAATTTAAATCAACCATAGGTTCTTGTTGAACAGGCACAGAAATAGAAATCGCAGGCATTTGAAGAAAAAGGTCATTTGGAGTAATATTAGGATCTAAGTACCAGTGGCTTGGAATAAGATTTATATGAAATTTTGCCAATGTTGAATATGTATCAACTCAAAAAAAATGATGGCAAATTAAACCTTTATTTATTAAAAGAAGACAGGTACATAAATGTGTACCATCTTTAAAGAGTATTACATAATGATCATGCCCTATAGTTCCAGTAGCACGAACATACCAGACTTGAGTAATCATTTCTTCTGATATTAATTCAATTAAAGATGTAAATAAAATTTGTCTTGTGTCATAATCCTGTTCTCTAATTCAAAGCCTGATTTCTTCATTATCAACGTCTTTCTGTGAAAATAATAATAAATAAATTAAGATAATATCAAATCTACATATTAGTTATGAATCCTTACCTCAATTAAACTATGCCAATTATAAACTTGTATAACATCATAGCAGACACTTGCGTTTATTTGATCCCTCTGTTTACCAAGCATAATCAGTGTAAGAAATTTCTTTAATATATCGTCAACTTGACTGAAAAAACGGCTATTTAACATTGGTAAACCAACAGATGGAAGCATATTGCGCTGAATCTCAAATTTTATCAAATGTTCTTCTTGATTTTCATAATCTTTAAGATTAATTAATAAATTATACAGTGAGGTCGCATGATCAACTTTTTTGTGTATATGCATATTAATAGATTCGACTCTCTGCGTGCTTTGTATCCCTTTAGTAAATTGTTCGTAGATCCATGGAACTGCCTATAACTCTTTAGTACAGTAAAGTGTATCAGTTAAATACTTTGTTACAGTTGGATAATCAGCCAATAGTTTTGTCCAGCAAGCTTCAAAAAGGTTTATACATAAACTATTACGGCAGGTATAAAAATCAGAATGAAATAATGCAAATTGAGAGCCTAATTTTCCTTTTAATTTTTTTTTAAGGTTCATATCTATGTGAAATATGCATAACATATGACTGGTGGTGGGATATACTAACTTAATTGCATTTATCATTGCGGGATCACTATTAGTAAATATTATCGTAGGAATGACACTAGTTTCCTCAAGCAGTGTTTCATAAATCTACTTAAAAGTATCCAATGTTTCATCTTCAATAATGCAACTAGCTACAATCCTTGTTCTAAAATTATTATCTATTATGGCAACAATAAAAAGCATTATCTGGAATTGGTTCGTATTTGCAGTTGTATTCATAATTACCACATCATAAAACTGCTCATAAAGGGACCTTTGTGCTAGAGAAAGCTATAATAAAGAATTTAGCTTTCTTGATACTGTCTCAATACGTGGTGCAACTACCTATAATGGGTTTTCCTCCTTCCATTTTAATAATGTTTGAAGCATTAAAGAAGCATTAGAATCACCAGGATTATGTTGTTGTCGAAAATTATACACAGCATTGTATAAATCATGTTTATTTAAGGGATGGTTGGGATAATCATATCGAAGTAAAGAATAAATCGACCCTGAATCCATCCTGCCTTGAATTACATATTTCTCAATATCTGATAACATATCAGGAGTCAACTTGCGAAATTGTGTAGCAATCTCACTAACCATAGGAGTAAGTGTATGATTATGAGAATTTTCAAATGAATTAATTTTTACTTGCGTTATTGTTTTTGGATATGTAACGCATAATTTCCAAGAACATTTAGTTCTTTGAGACTTAGCATTATGATGTTTGGTAGGGTCAAATGTCACATTTGGGTCATGAGTGATGGATTTGGTACACACATAAGTTGCTCTTTGAACTATTCCTTTATCATCTCTTTCATTAGTTCTAATTTTGTAAGCAAACCCTTTCTGTAACGCAAAATGATTAAGCCAAACTTTAAAAGAGTCCCAACTTAAAAATAAAAGTCCAACTACTAATTTCAAATATGATTTATTATCCGACTCATCTTCATCCAATTCACCTTTATCCAATTCACCTTGATCCAATTCACCTTGATCCAATTCACCTTGATCTGATTCATCTCTATCCATTGTGTTGCATAATTGTGAAGCTATATAACTATTAGCTTCTAAGGATAGTACAAAATTGTCATAAAAAATAGATTTATTAAGATGATCAAGAGATAGTGTTGTTTTAGATTCAATATAAGTAATGTCATTTAAATAACCTGGTTTAGTGTCTTTTTTATTAAAGTTAGGTGAATAGTCATTAATAATTTTGACTGATTCCTCATTTGTAAGGTCCTACATTT